CAGACGGGGAGGACACGGAAGCAAGTCTGTGGGGCCTTCCTGCCTGGCTGCTGTGCCCAGACACTCACTGGGGGAGAGGGTCTCCGAGGTGGAGGCTTACACTCCACCAAGGACACTCGTTCTAACACATACGTGTTTACCTCCAGCTCCATCCTACTAACCCATTCCATAGACACACAATCGCACACATCATGCACATGTATCAGGTGCATATATTGCACACATATCACTCAGATCACATACCCCACATCACAGACACACAATCACACACGTATCCCACACTCGCCACACATGGTACACAGTACAAATACCTCTCCAAAACACACTCCACTGGGGTTCTTTCCTAACATCTCCCACTTCTGTCCTCTGTGCCTGTCCCCTGTCAGACCCTTTTCTCAGCCCCAGGAGGATGGTGTAGTGTCTTTCCTTGATTTTGAGAAATGACTGGTTTTTGTTTTTGTTTTCGTTTGTTTGTTTGTTTGTTTGTTTTCAACCTGCAAGCGGGATATCATCTGTTAACTGGACATGCTGGGCTGTGTACTTCCCAAGCTCTAGTCAAGAGAGGTGGAGACTGCTGGCCAGGGCCAGCGAGTTTGTGTTCCTACCACCCCAGTTTTACTTAATAATGTTCCACAGCACAAGTGCAATGTTGGTGACTCAGGGTAGCCGAAGAGACACTGAGAGACGCCGCTTTTGAGTGAAAATGTAGAGATGGCCAAGATCTGCGACGAGACCAGCCCTGTTTGTGAGACTGTGGGGGAGGGGTGGGGAATTCATGCTGATGCCCCTCAGAGGGGCAACATGTCCAGCCACACACAGGTCGCTCACTCTGTGAACACTTCACCCTTCACAGGACGAAATCAGTTTCAGCGTAATCAAGTGATAATTACAAATGACGGTAATTTTTCTTGTTTTTCTTGAAAGCAATTAGCAATTAGGGAGAAGAGAACATTTCTATTTAGTGACATATTTCAGGCATAGGCTGACGTTTGCACTTAAACACGATCCCTGGTTTGGGCTCAGTTTCCCAATTTTAAACATTAAATCTGCAATAATGCACAAGTGGTCCCATATGCCACAGAATCAGCGCTGATCTAACAGCTCCCCCGACCCCAGTGAAGTTTATACACGCAAATGAGATCATTTGAAATCTGCTGATGCATGCAAACTCGTGGAGTCACAGGGATTCTTCTGAGCCCCCACGAGGAGTTCTGGACCTTCAGATCCATCTCAAGAAAGCCTTATAACCATTATCCATGTGGTCAGGATGGCGAGCTCCCTACAGAGCAAGGCTGCAGGGCTGTGTGACAAGGTCATCAGGGATGCTCTGTTCTTCCCGTGGGCAGGAGGTGGGTTCCATGACCTTAGATGCACCTTGGAGAGTATCTCCAAGCCATGGGATGAGTGTTCTTTCCAACCTCACTGACATCTGAGGGATGAGAACATCAATTCCTTGCCCCTTCCTTACGGTTTCACATCAGAGCCAGGACAGTCAGAGCTACACAGAGAAACCCTGCCTTGAAACAACCCTCCCTCCAAAAAAGGGACTTATTTTATTAATGTGTACACGTGTGTCTCTGTGAGTGAGTGCCACGTGTGAGAGTATTCATGGAGGTCCGAGGGCGGCACTGGATCCCCTGGAGCTGGAGTTACAGGTGATCGAGCTGACCACTATGTGTGTTGGGAATCGAACTCAGGTCCTCTGGAAGAGCAGTAAGTGCTCTCACCCTCTGACCCTCTCCAGTACTGCTCCCCTCTTTTTTTTTTTTTTGAGACAGAGTCTCACTAGGTAGCCATGGCTAGAACTTGCTAGATAGACCAGGCTGACCTTGAACTCACAGAGATCTTGCCTGCCTCTGTACTCCCAAAGTGCTGGGATCAAAGGTGCTAAGATCAGAACTTTTCAGACAGAAATATGCCTGGCCAGACACTGAATGGACAATGAGAATCTTGTGATTCGTGGCTCCTGTGGCCCCTAACGTTTCTCCAGAGAGCAAGGGTTTAGTTTTGTAGTGCTGATAGTTCAGTATTCACAGCAGCTTTAGAGCCGAAACAGCCACAGCAGCACTGCCTCAGAGGACACGTCTTACCTGGAAGGTCAGGACTGTCGCATGCAGGAGCAGATCCTTCAAAGAGCTAAACATGAGTGCTGGAGGCGCTGAGCATGGTGCTCCACACCTGTAATCCCAGCACGTGGGAGGCTGAGGCAGGAGCAGCTCAAGTTTGAGTCCAGTCTAGCTATGTAGTGACTGTCTGTTTGAAGAAAAGCCAGTGAGACTTGGCCTGAAAAGTGTGTGTGTGTGTGTGTGTGTGTGTGTGTGTGTGTGTGTGTGTGTATACATATATATTTTATTTTTTAAATTTAACTTTATTTTATGTGCACTGGTGTTTTGTCATGGGTGTCAGGTCCCCTGGAACTGGAGTTACAGACGGTTATGAGCTGCCATGTGGGTGCTGGGAATTAAATTGGGGACCTCTGGAAGAGCAGCCAGTGCTCTTAACTGCTGAGCCATCTCTCCAGCCCCCAAAAGTGTTTATTCTTTAGACAAGACTTAAGTGGTATCAGTCAAGGACTGACTGGAGACACTTTCCATGCAGCTGACCCTGGGCAGGGGCCCAGCTTTGGCTGTTGGAGTGGCCATGGAGCATGAAGGTGAAAGCGGAGTCCCTTAATAATTAAGACGTAAGATGAGTGAGGTTATAGAAGTGAGGAAGAAGAGGGGGTCTCCACCGTTATCCCTGGGCTTTCTGTAAGCCAGTTCCTGTGCTGGCGAAGAGGGCTGGAAGCTACCCTGGGTGATGCTCATCTCATGGACCCCCTTACCTGTGGCAAGCACAACAGTGGCCATCCACGTTGTAGGCCTTAGAACCTGGAACATGTAAACTCTCAGGACAAAGGGGAATTAAAAGCTGTGACCCCTGGCCCCGGGGTAGAAGAAGGATGCACGTTCTGGGGAATCACAGCTCCTTCTCCTTTTTTGAATATTCTTTGACAGTTTCATACACAAGGACAAGTATCTTGCTCATATCCAGCCCAAATCTACTCTTCCACTTCCCCTGGGTCCCCAATGCTTTCCCTTGCCACCTTCTTGTCCTCTCGTGTTTTTACCTGCATTCATATGGGTGTGGAAACATCCATCCAAACATAGTTACATCCCCAAAGATAAATGACTCCCCTCCCCGCCAGCTGCCACCAACTGCCTAGAGCCCTTCCCTATCCATGGTGAAATGTTGACTGTCTTGATCTTGTTCTGGTAGCCGCCGTGGGTTCATGGGAGCAGCGAGCATGTCACATCCAGAGGACAGCGTCTCACAGCACCCCTCTCCACCTCCTAGCTCTTATCTCAGCAGAAAGGGTAGGAGAAGGTGGAGGCAGAGCCCGGAGCTGGAAGAAGCTAGAAAAGCAGGACGCTGATTCCCTCCAGAGGCCCAAGGGCCCCACCCAGCAAATGCCTTTCACTTAGCTCCAAGAGATACATTGTAGACTTCTGGCCTCCAGAGCTTCAGGACAACACATGTGTGTTGTGAATGTCACCCAGACTGTGGCTTTTTGTTCCAGCAGCCACAGGATACTCATGGAGCAAGCTGAGCTGAGTGGAATGGTGGGATCTTCAAGTCTCTCTCTCTACCTGAACTTTACCATTCAGTGTGTACTCAGGCCCAGGCACGCTGACGTCACCCCCTGTGGTGAGGACTGTGCCTCTCACAGTCCACGGAGCCCACTGAACCCTTAGCATATAGGAGTTCATAATCTCTCTAGGAGCAGGACTGTGAGGGGTCTAAGAGCTTGCTTTGTCCTCCATGGCACTGGCCTGTGACCCACACGAGGAGGTCTCAGGCTGGTACCTTGGCATTATTCCGGCCTATTGTCCCAGCTTGGTCTTCATCCACATGCAGGATTGGTTGAGGGGACAGAACAGAATATTGTTCTCTATGTTCAGTGTTGTGGGTGGGGATTGAAAATTCCCAGCCCTTTTGTCTTCATCCAGCACTTTTTTTTTTCTTCAAGCGAGGGTTTCTCTGTATATCCTTGGCTGTCCTGGATCTTGCTCTGTAGACCAGGCTGACCTGGAACTCAGAGATCTGCATACCTCTGCCTTAAAGGCTTGTGCCACCTCATCCAGCCCTTAACGTGGTATTTAAAGAAGTCAAAATGACTTTTAAAAAAATCTGTGATAAAAAATATGAAACTTTACTTTTTATTTTTTTTGTGATACTGGTGACGCCATTCATGCTAGGTAGGTACTTTACTACTACAGTAACCCACAAGCCCCTATCTATCTGTCTGTCTGTCTATCTATCTGTCTGTCTGTCTATCTATTAATTTATTATTTAGAGACAAGGCCATCATGTAGCCCACACTGGCCTTGAACTTGCCAAGAGGTCAAGAATGACCTTGAACACCCAACCTTCCTGCCTCTGCCTCCTAAGTGCTAGGATTATAGGCATGTGCCACTGCACCTGGCTTATGTGGTGTTAGGGGTCAAACCGAGGGCTTTGTGCAGGATAGGCAAGCACTCTACCAACTGAACCCCATCCCCAGGCCCTTCTTTCTTTTCTTTTGAGGCAGTTCACAAAGCTGCTCAGTGTGACTTTGAGTTCACTCTAGCCAAGGTAGGCCTTGAACTTGAGATTCTCCTGACTCAGCTCCTGGAGCAGCTACCAAGCCCTAAAGGCTAGACTTGATTTTTTTTTTGGCTTGGTTTAAAAAATTATTATCATCAAGTGTGTATATATGTGTGCGCGCACATGTGTGTGTGTGTGTGTGTGTGTGTGTGTGTGTGCGCGCGCGCGCGTGCGCGCGCGCGCGCGCTCGTGCACGCATATGTGTGGCCACCTTATGTAGAGGTTGTGAAATCTATTTTCTCTTTCTAGCCTATGTGGATTGGATTGTCAGGCTGATGTTGCAAGTGCCTTTACCTGCTCACCCATTCTGCTGGACCCCAAATGCCTGACTGTAAATGAACACTACTGTCTTCTCTTTTCTCAAACTCCAGGGCGGCTCCTCATAGCCCTGATCATGGACCTGGTTTGACCGAAGCTCTCCACGGAGGACATAGGCAGTGCTCTTCCGTCCGGTTAACCCTTCTCAACTTACCAACTCAGGTCCTCAACATAGTAAGGTACACCTACTTACCCCTTGCCACTGCCCAGATGTTGACCCCAGTTCAATACGCGGCCTGAGCCCTCTGCACTGGGTACCCTTCCCTTCATCCAAGCGGAGTGATGTGCTCATGCAGTTCAGCCCTTCTAAGTTCCACTTTCTTGGTTTGAAAAGTGGGGTGATGTAGGAGACATGAAGGTCCTTGTGATCACAGATAAGCCCTAAGGGAACCTGGAGTGTTAGCACACAGGATTGTTCCTTCAAGGGAGGGGATGTGATACCCGCTGTCCTCCCAGAAGGCTGGGATCAGATGTGCATTCTAGCCTGGTGACCTTTGCGCTATCTGTGTAGCCAGAGACCACACTGGACCCTCCCTTATGGTAAGCTTGCTTTTCTCAGCCATCTATAGAACCTATCATCTTCCATACAAAATACTTCTATAGATCAACTGAGAAAAACTTTACAAACTTAACAAAGAATTTCGATGTAGTCACGTCTGATCCTTATTTAGCTTGTTTTGTTCCTCAAAGAGATTATGTATGCCTTATTTGTACACATGGGATTGAATTCATTATCACCAGAAAAGTTTTCATCAAACTGTGCTGTGCTTAAATACGCCTAAAATAAACCACTCTGGGTCGGACTCCTGAAGTTTGCATTAACATCAGCTACTTAGTAATGTTGAACTCAACTGCTTTCTTTCCTCCCAAGGATCACGACTCTGCTGGCCATGGTGGTCAAAGTGACCCCCACAGGGACCTGCCTCCTAGTGTGGCCTGAAGAACTACTAAGTTGTGGGCAACAAGTGTTGTGGAGGGTGGGGGGCAGACTGGGAGTTTCCCATCGCTTCCTGAAGCAGGTATCACGTGCATCTTATTTGGTACTTGTTGCTGGGACTCCAGGAAATCACTCCTCTGGGATCTCAAGCCTTCAGGGCAAAGGTGGTTGTCCGACTCTGTTCTAGGACCTTTTATCACTCGCCAGCGCCAAACACACACCTGGAGTTCAGAGATGTCTTACACCTGGTGATACCTGAATGAGGGTCCCAGGCTGAGGAGCAGAATCCTTTCCAGCCTTGCCCATAAGACCCTGGAAGACCTGTAAGTGATTTGCATAAGCCCTGGACCGGGCAGAAGCAGCTGGTTTAAAACCCATGGTGAAATGAAATTGGGGAGACTTGAGGCTTTGCCGAGGATGGTGACCACAGGGTGGGCTGCACAGGGTGGGTGGCACAGGGTGGGCAGCACAGAGGAAAGCTCAGAATCATACCCAGGCAGGCTGTTGGAAGCATATAGACACCCTTGGAAGAGCCGGAACTGGAACAGGATTTGGCCAATTTCTTCATTGTTTAGTGTCTTCCTTGAAATTTTTGTGAGCTGTATAATTTTTGCTACGAGTAAGAAAAAGGCTTTGAACAACATGCTTTCAGTGGAGGCTGGGAGATCTGGGGGAAGGCTTGCTGAGCTCTGTGCCTCAGTTTCCACATGTATGAAACGGGGTTCTGAATTCTTCCTCCAAGGGAGACCAGGAGGATCCCTTAGGACAATGGTACTGCCTTTGAACAGGCCTGGAGGATAAGACTCTCCTCCGACCTCCTTGGGGACATCTAGACTGAGAGCCGATCCCTGCTGCTCACTCAGTGTGTGAGGCTGGGGCTGTGGTGGCGGCTGAGCATCCCAGCTGCTGACAGTGCAGCCTCCCTTCTGAGCTGAGCACAGGCATTTTGGGAAATCCCTTAATACCTCTATTCTGTGCAGGCGTATATAGGGAGGGCCAGAACGCTAGCTCTCCACTGCACTGCCCAGAGGCCCCTGCCTGACTCACTGCCAGCCTTCGGTCCCTGCGTTGCCAAGAAGAACATGGACGTCACCATCCAGCACCCTTGGTTCAAGCGCGCCCTGGGGCCCTTCTACCCCAGCCGACTCTTCGACCAGTTTTTCGGCGAGGGCCTTTTTGAATATGACCTGCTGCCCTTCCTGTCTGCTACCATCAGTCCCTACTACCGCCAGTCGCTCTTCCGCACGGTGCTGGACTCGGGAATCTCCGAGGTAAGACGCAGCCGCGCTGACTCCTTGCTGGTCAGAGGGGTCTCGGCCTTGTCTGGAGGACAGCTAGGGAGCGCCTACTGCCCTGTGCTCGCCTCTAGCAACGTCCCCGACTCTCCCGGCCTCAAACCCTGCAGAGGCCGGGTGGGAGCTCACACGCCTAGCTGCCCAAAACTCCCACATCATCGCTGGGAAAGGGGTCGGAGGAGGAGGAGACCTCCCGAGCCCGACCGCTGTCTTTTCCTCCCATCAGCTCATGACCCATATGTGGTTTGTAATGCACCAACCACATGCTGGAAACCCCAAGAACAACCCCATCAAGGCAAGTTCCATGGCAGAGGCAAGCGTCCTGGGCCGGCCGCACGCTGTACTTTCTCTTTGTGGTGTGGGGGTGGGATGTACTGCCATGAACCACAGAAAGGAGGGGCTTCCTTCCAGCGGGGCAGGAGCCTTCTGCAGCCGGCAAAGCTGCAAACGGGGCTCCCTTCTAGCTCCCCTGATGGCCAAAGAAAGGCCAAAAGGCTATATCCCTTCCTGCCCAAGTGATCCGCAGTGCTGGAAGAGCTAAGCCTCCCTTTGCTTTAAAAGAAGGCTCCCAGAGCAGATCCAGCCCCAGCTCTAGGAAGCGAATTGCCCAAATGCAGGCTGTAGTCAGGGCAGAGGGAGGAGAGTGCAAAGAGCTTGTTCTGGCAGACAGTGGTGCTCTGAAGTTGTTGGCAGCATCGGATTGACAGGCGAGGTAGGCTCCTGGGGCCATGGATATATCAAGGACTTTAGTCCTACCAGCCAGCCAGTTCTCATCTAGTCAAACCCGCCAGTCCATGATCAACCATAACCAATCACCTACTTAAAAACTTAATCAGCCAGCTACTTCACATGTTAAGTCCCACCCCACCTCATTACCAGCTTAACTTAGTCAACAAGCTACTTAACATGCTAAGACCCACCCAACTCTTAACTAGCCACTAGGCCATAACCAAACAACTGGTCAGCCTGTAACTAGCCATTTGATGATGATCAGCCAGCCAGCTAATTCATAACCAATAACTTGGACTCTAATCAGCCAAGCCACTCATTTACCCCCCAACCATCCTACTATAACTAGTTCTCCAACCTATAACCAATTAGCCAGCCACCCTGTAATCAGTTGGCTGACCCAGCATTGCCCAATCTTTGGGTCTGGAGTCAGGGGTGATCTTGCCTGTAGGGCTAGGTGAACAGACCCAGCTCCAGGCTTCCTTGGCCCGTGGAAGTAGAGGTGTGACAAGATGGGCTGCCAGTTCTGATGGCTGGGCACTCCCCTGCCTGGTTCCATCCACCCAGCAGAGTTCACACAGCTGTTTGTCTGTCCTTTGTCCCTGGAGCTGGTGGCCCTTTGGGGAGCTCCACACATGGCTTTGGGTTTCAGGTCCGATCTGACCGGGATAAGTTCGTCATCTTCTTGGACGTGAAGCACTTCTCTCCCGAGGACCTCACTGTGAAGGTGCAGGAGGACTTCGTGGAGATCCATGGCAAGCACAACGAGAGGCAGGTGAGTCTGGGTGGTAGCCCCATGTATGTGGGTCCTGTACCCCCAGGGAGACCATGGGTGGCTGCATTGGCTCAGCCACTCCTGCTGGGAGGGGCCACATCTTCCTGGGTTAGGCTGACCCCTTCCAGGACCATGGAGGTCACTGTCCTCAGCCCTGGCAGGGCCAGGCAGCGTGAGTGGGGCTCAGGAACGCAGGATGAGGGACCCTTGTACTGGGCACAATTCCAGCTGTCCCTCTGGATCTTCTGGATGACAGGGGATTAGAAAGGACCTCGGGAAAGGAGAGCGCTGAAGGTGACCATTCTGAGCCATACTACACATGCAACCTGACTAGGGAAAGAGAATCCCAAGGACAGAAGAACTGGCATTTATACGCACCCAAAGTTGCCCAGCCCCTGTGGTATCTCAGTTAGTGAGTGACAGTCCTGAGGCTTAAGGAGGTCGCTTGCCAGGCCGGGAAAGCTTCTTTCCCAGGAGTCACCCACCCCGACCCATGGTTCCTGATCATGGGGAGATCCCTCAGGTCTTTGGATTGAGGGAGCCCCAGGCACTGGTCCTGGCTGGAAGTAGTGCCTCCTGACAGAGCTGGGATTATGCAGGAAGCTCAATGAGGCTGGCTAGGTGTGTCACGCCCATGTGGGCCAGATGGCAGAGAAGGCTAGAAGCAAAGTTCTTGGCCCCAGTCTTAGTTTCTCTTGGACGGGCTTTTCTGTCAACATTAGAAGGGGGTGGGGATGAACCAAGCAACATATGCACTGAAGCCAGGACAAGGCTTCCCTGACCCTCGGCCAGGCTTCAGAGGGCTCCTTCTACCTCTTGGCCTTTGCTCCTAAAGATGGAGGAAATTGGGCTCAGGGAGCTGAGTCTGGAGGCCCAGAATTCTGGAGGAAGTGGGTTTTCTGCCCGGCTGAAGCTTTCTGTTGGGTGGGATTGCTGATGCCCTGGTCTTGGGCAGTCCCTGTGGGTCCAAGGGGAGGGGGAGCTGGGAAGAGTACCCAACCAAGGACAGTATAGTTCACTGGAGTTAGGACAGAATCTGCGACAGCCAGTTCCACAGCACAGGCCCTGAGCAGGCCCACTCTCTGTGCTTGGCCTTTGCCAGAGGTCCCTTGGAGGCTTGCTATGATTCCAGGATTTCAGGAGTCTGGTTGCGGCTCTGTAAATCTCATGGTGAAGTGGCTAGGCACTGGTGGTCTGGTCCTAAAGCCCAGCCCCATGAGACCATCTGGACCCCGGGCACCTTGTGTGGTCTGAGTGGTTCCTTTTCCAGTGTGGGATGGTGGCTGTTGCTGCCCCATCACCCCTGACCATGCTCCTCCCTGGTGGTCCCCAGGATGACCATGGCTACATCTCCCGCGAGTTCCACCGCCGCTACCGTCTGCCTTCCAATGTGGACCAGTCCGCCCTCTCCTGCTCCCTGTCTGCGGATGGCATGCTGACCTTCTCTGGCCCCAAGGTCCAGTCCGGCTTGGATGCTGGTCACAGTGAGAGGGCCATTCCTGTGTCACGGGAGGAGAAGCCCAGCTCGGCCCCCTCGTCCTAAGCAGGCCTTGCCTTGGTTGTCCCCTGAGGCCCCTGACCCAGGGGCCACAGCAGTCTGCCTTCCTACCTTCCTTTCTTTCTCTTTGTTCCCTTTCCATTTTCTCAGAGGGTTGAGGGTTTGAGGGAGTGGCTTAGAGAGCTTGGGGTCTTGGCCTGAGGTGCTGCGGGTTCAGGGTGACCCAGGCTCAACACCGGCCGGTTGGAGGGAATGATGGCATGGAACTCTTGAGATATGATCTGTCCTCTTGGAATGAGGCATCTGAGCTCTGCTCCAAAGGCAGAGTGGGTGGTGGCTAACCAACTCTGAGAGCCCTCTGCCGAGCCCCTGGGTGGCAGCCTCCCCTCTTGCCCGTACTTACTGAAGGCTCATGTGCTGGGCTCCGACCGCCAACTTCTCTCAACCCCTCTTCCTGAGACTTTCTCTATGTAGTATTGCTCTTGGGGACCCTGGTCACCCATGAGAATGGAGCCCCTGGCAGACAATAAAGAGCAGGTGACAGAAGCAACTTGCAGTCTGGTGTCGTGCTGTCCTCCGTTGGGGTGGGCGGGGCGGGGGGGGCACCCGGGAGGGTGTAATAGACATCTCCTGCCTGCCCGGAGAGGGTTTCCAGCATTCTATCCTGTCTCTTAAGTCCACGGTGCCCTCCGCAGCCAGCTCTGCAGTACTGTGTCCTAACCCATGCTGGAGGTGTCAGGTGCCCTCTCCCTTTCCCTCACCAGAGCAGACCTTGAAGTTCGTGTCTACCCAGAGTGGCCTGTTGCTCCCTGTTCAGATCCCAGTGGTGGGGAGACCTTGTCTGAAGGATCACAGCCTTCCACTAGGGGGCGAGGCAGTGGGCAGCAGGTTCTTAGGAGTGGTACTATGGTTGCACAGGCCTGGCCAGTACAACCAAGCCCTGCAGATGGCCCAGTACTCAGGAGGTACAGCACACACATTCCCCATCACATGCATGACACACACCACAGAGGACACTGCACCTCATGCACATGTACTCACATACACATGCCACTCATCCCAAATATACAACATGCCACATACCCTATGCGGCACACATACAGTGTACTCATGGTACCTATCACACATACAGAACCCACCAAACACAGCACATACGCCACACACACTGCACACTGAACACACATGCCCCACAGCACACATCACTCTCACCCCAGCACAGATCACTTCCACAACATGGAACTTGTACATAATGGCTTCCTCCTGAGAAAGACCTCAGCCATGCCCACTCCATACCTTTTCATAGGATACCCACAGGCTGTTCCACCATTTACTCCACTTGTATAAAGCTGGAGAGTCCCCTGTGGCAGAAAGGACTCTCCCAATTTGGGGTTGGTACTGGGAAGTCTTACCCTGAGACCCTCAATCCTCAGCCAGCCTTCAGCTGGACTACTTGGGGCATCCCTTAAGGTCATGAGGGTGGGGTATTGCATGGTAGGGCTGCAGGCAGGCAGGGGGCTGAGCTGCCCTTGGATGTCCAAGGCCTTACATCCCTCATAGTGGTTGTTTGGTTGTGTGGGCTGTATTGTGACCATCCAAGATGACCTGGTCCCTTAGAATGAAGATGTCTTTGGGGACAGGATCTTTATGGAGGTGACTAGGGTGAAATGAGGTCCCCAGGATGGCCCTGACCCAACCTGATTGTGTCACTGCAAGAAGAGGAGCTCAGGACATCCCTCTCTCCTTTTCTCCCGCCTTCCTTCCCTCCCTCCATCCATCCCTCTCTCCTTTTCTTCCTCCTTCTCTTCCTCCCTCCCTCTCTCCCTCCTTCTCTCCCTTCCTCCCTCCCTCCTTCTCTCCTTC